TGGACTGGGGATAGGGAGCTGTGCTGTCCTTTTGCAGCTTTGAGATTTGAATAAGGTGTGTTGGGAGATGCTAAGATTTGAAAGCTGCCTGCAGATCACAGTGTTCACTGATTGGTGTTTGGGCTTCCAGGGACCCACTTCCCACCACCTCACAGTATGTCTATGCAGTGGGAACATATGTATCTCCCCTAGGTACAAATTTGCATAAGGAAAAGGAAAGGAACTAAGAAAAAGGGGAGAAGAAAGGACAGTGAAGAGAGTGAAGAAGAGAAGGCGTAACAGACAAACCAAAAATCAGATAGACAAACCAGTAGAAAATAGGAAAAAAATAAATAAAACTGACATTATGAGGAGATTTTCACACTCATATATGTGTGGAAAAAGAAGAAGGAGAAGGAGTAAAATAAAATGAAATACACACCCCTTGCAAACTATATAGAAAAAGCAGGAAGGCCAGACTCGGTGGCTCAGCCTGCAATCCCGAGCTTTGGGAGACCGGGGTGAGTGAATTGCCTGAGCCCGCGGGTTCGAGACCTGCTTGGACAACTTGACGAGACCTTGTCTCTACAATAAATAAAAAATTTAGTCGGGCATGGTAGCATGCGGCTGTAGTTCTAGCTACTTGGAAGGCTGAGGCCAAAGGATTGCCAGAGCCCAGCGGGTCGAGGCTGCCGTGGCTGGGAGTGTGCCACTGCACTCCAGTCTGGACAACAGAGTGAGACTCCAACTCAAAAAAATAAAAAAAATAAAAAAAGAAAGAATGAAAGAAAGAAAGAGCAAGGAAAACTTAAAAGAAAACAAAATAACTTTTGTAATCCTTGAGTGCCCTCTTGTGACAGTTTCTGAAACTTTGAGTTCCTTGTAGACTGACCCAAGCACTGCCGCTCCTGGTTTGTGCAGAGGGGAGGGGATTCTGCCCTCTAGATCTGTACCCCTACACACCATGCAGTTTGAGGGAGGCTGCCAACCACCCCCAGTTGATCCACTTGTTTTCAGCCCTCTCCATGTGTACTGATCAGGACACTCCTGCCTGTATCACATGTCTCATGACTCAATGGGAAAAGAGAGCTGAGCAGGCTGGGAACAGTGTCACATGCCTGTAATCCCAGCACTTTGTATTTAAAAGTATAGTACAATATAGTTTACTCAAATTTAAGGTTAGTTTTACCTTTTCATTTTTAGGAAAAAAAAGATTTCATCCATTTAATCCCTAAAAAATTTACATCTCCTTTCTAGGAAAGAATTAATTATCTTTACAAAATTATTTAAGACATTTCAATTAAAATGGGTTCTCCCCCATGTGTATGCCAGGTGAGAGGACTGCTCAAGTTCAGGGGCTTAAGACCAGCCTGGGCAACTTGGTGACACCTCATCTCTACTACAAATAAGAAAATTTTCCAAGCATGGTATTGTACACCTCTAGCTCCAGCTACTTGGGAGGCTGAAGTGGAAGGATAGCCTAAGCCCAGTGGGCCAAGGTTGCGGTGGCTGTGAGCATGCCTCTGCACTCCAGCCTGGGCAATAGAGTGAGATTCCGACACACACACACACACACACACGTGCTGGGTTACCTTAAAGCTCACCATCACTCATCCAGTGTGGGCTGAATTCTGTATCTCTGGTTGCAGTCATAGACCCACAAATGTTTTAGTTAGGGAGATGGGTGCCTGTGTCTCCTTGCCTGGCCTGTGCCTCTGGGGATTCTGCACCAGGGGTATCCTATTTTTGTTGGCAATGATCAACCTCAGAGAGGTGCCGAATTCACCCCTCAGTCTCAGGGAGTAACTCTGCTGTTCAAAAGAACAAATATGGTAGGAATGACTCTATGTCTTGTTCTCTGCTGGGACTTGGCAGCCAGTTCCTCTAGTGTATTTTCTCCACTGTCCCTACTGTCAATGTCTGATCTGGCATTAAAGGCTGTGGTGGTGGGTGGCACCATGCAGCAGCCGTTTTTCACCACTTTCTTCCAGGTAGGGTCCCAGAGTTGATGACTGCCTCTGCATCATAGAGCATGCTGGGATCTGAGTTGCTGCACAGAACAGCCACCTCAGCAGGAGAGCTCAAGCCACTTGTTCCCATGTTCCCGCTCAGTCAGACACTTACATAGCCACTTGCTGACACACTTGCATGCATACCCATTCCTGTGTCCACTCATTTATGCAGTTACTCATGTAGGCAGACTGAGTCCATTACCATCTTGGAATACTCTCCAGAAAGCTATCATTTCTTACATATTAAAAAGCACAATACCCGTTTAAATAAAAAGGTACAATGGTACAATGCAGATCAAATTTAAGCTTAGTTTTACCTTTTCATTTTTAGAAAAAAAGATTTCATCCATTCAATCACAAAAAAACTTATATCTCCTATCTAGGAAATAATTATCTTTACAAAATCACTTAAGACATATTCATTACAGCGGGTTTTACCTCTACATGTATATGCCATGGAAGATGTTAAAATTTCATATTTATTCTCACATATTTATTTTACTCAGCTTAGAAATAGAGAATGTTTTATGTTTGAGGTATAGACAAACGCAGGAGAAATTCTCGACAAAACTTAATTGTTGAACTACTAGAAGGAGTGTATAGAAAAACAAATCTAATGATAGATTTATATATTATATAATACAGATTACTATGAAGATTAGCATCTATTACATGATACATTAGCATATGTTACATAATATATGTATATTTATGTTATCTATTATGACAGATTTTTATATTGACATATCATGTCATATTATGTATATTTGTATTCTTTTTTCTTTTTCTTTTCCTCTTCTTTTTGTCTAATTATGTTTCTCTGAATTAAATGTGGCAATCTGCTGTAGACAAATTTTAAATAACCTCAAGATGTGTGTGTGTGTGTGTGTGTGTGTGTGTGTGTGGGTGTCTGTGTATAATGTTGACAGAACAGTCATATTTTCAATAGTAACTTTTGACTCTTAGGAAAAATCTTGTTACTCAGGTTATAACATTTTTCTTCATGTTGACTCGCAAAATTCCAGGATTTTTTTCAGTAAAAATAAATAGATAGATAGATAGTACAGATAGATAGTATTTTGTTTTAATACATAGTTCAGGTCTTCAAGCCATATTTATAAGGCATTTTAAGATTTTTATGATATATTATAGTTGATTGCAAAAGGCATAACAGGCAGACAACACTACATAATCTTGTTTATAGTATACCTTCATGGAAAATTATCATTGGGTACGTTTTTGTTTTTATAAAAATAAGCATTGGCCATGATATGTATCTTCAGATGATAGAATTGCAGTGTAAGTTTTGAGGATGTTTTTGGTTTAGTTTTCCTGAGATTGTCCTTTTACATCAAGCCATTCTTGTTTAACTGTGTCTTGTCATCACCCTACAAAGATATAATTGAATGTTTATTGAATAAGTGGAGGTATTGATGTTTTGACTTTTTTGTATTTGTATGCTTCTGTTTATTATATTTTTTTATTATTTTGATTTGCAATTGCTCTTTACCTTACTTATATTGAAAATTCTGACAGAGATGTGAGAGTGTCTTTTTCATTTTTTTATAGCTGCTGTACCTAAGTAAATAAATTGTTCTCATTAAATATATAAGTATGACTGATTAACTAGAAATAAACAGTTGTCCACTAAACTTGTTCCAGACTGCCTCATGGACACTACATTTTAATACTTTGTTCTATGAAGCTACTCATTATTATGGAAAATTAAAAATTTAACAATTACCAATCAACTAAATTGTCACTAGTTTACATATTAACGTTATCCTTAAAATCATAAGATGTAAATATTAACAAAAAATCAGGTAATTGTTAATCATTCTATTTTAAATGATGATTTTAAGTTTGCAAGCACTTTTATAGCTTAAACTTTGTATTTTTGTTATCAGACAATGATAGCTATTATAAACTAAAAAATACTTCATTTTGAATAAATACTTCATTACAGATGGCAGTGGAAAAGAAAACACAACCCTAATTAATGGATTTTATATTAAAAGATGACTATATATGCATAAATCAAAATTTACTTTGTAATACTATTGTGCCCAGCTAGTCATTTCTGAACTTAAACGTATTTGTTCTTAAGAAAAACACAAATTTTAGTTATGTACTTTTATCATAAAGATCTATAGTGTATATATTAATGTCTAAATCAGAATTATCATTATTATGAAAACTGGCTGTTTCATACTAGTATTTAGAGTATTTGCTTTTTCAGAGAAAATCAATGTTCTAGTGATTAGGAAAGTCATTTTATTATTTAAGTAATAAGATATTTGATCCCTTCCATTTTGTGGATTCCCACTTCACATGTATTACATCTTACATATGGATCGTCCTTCACTTAAGCTCTCATACGTGCTAACAAAATGAATCTGTTTTGTTTCACTTTATTTTCTTTGTGTTGGATAAACAGAGGGTCACAATTTTTTTTCCATAGCATAACATTATTATTCTGGTACTCCAGTTTAGCCTATTAGGGCTTCTATAGCAAAGATGCTAATCTCAAAAATTAGTCAATATCGGATTTATTTGCAATATTTATTGGTCCTGAATATATATGCAAATAGTAAATGAACTGTTTTATGGGCTGTAATGTGCTGTAGTGAAAGGTAGCTTGGATCAGCAAACATAGCATCACATACAGGTAGAAAGGTGGACCAGATTCTCCACGTTGATATATGCTCTAAATTGTCACGGCGAATTATCCATCACATCTTCAAAATAAAAAATTAAAAGACAAAAAATAAAATAGTTCACAATTTTTCATTAAAAAAAACAAATTCCAAGACATTAAGAGAAAAATTGAATTTTTCCACAATGATTTTGGTGTTGGGATTCTCATAGTGAATTTAGGAATCTAAAGAGCTTTTTTAAAAAAAACTGTCCTTTGGCCTTTAGAGAACATTCTTCTGTTACTGGTATATTGCTGGTTAGTTCAAAGTATGTTGTCAATACTCTTATGTAAGAATCTGGTCTTCAACACAGGAGTCACTATATGGGAACTGATGACTTTTGGAGGAAAACCCTATGACGGAATTCCAACACGAGAAATCCCTGATTTGTTAGAGAAAGGAGAACGTTTGCCTCAACCTCCCATCTGCACTATTGACGTTTACATGGTCATGGTCAAATGTAAGATCTCAAAATAATTTCATCTTCATTCTTAGTAAACTCATGGTACAGATTATTCTACCAAAAATAATGTTTCTGCATATTGAAAAATGTTACAGTTCAAAAATAATTGTGAAGGAAATATGTAACACTTGTTTGTTGTAATCATTATTAATATGAAGCAATATTTTAATGTTATAAAGTCAAAATTGTAAGACTTTTATTATTATAATTTCTATGACAGTCAAATTGCCCATCACAAAGATATACAATTAGTCACAATAATGTTTGTAATAACATCAATGTTAGTAATAATGTTAGTAATCTTTATGGGAAAAGAGCAACCTAATAAATGACCTAAACATTTAAAAAAGAGCTTGAAACTTATCATTTTAAAAGTCAATTAAATGGAAGTAGTTTTGACAGTTTCAGTCAAGAGAAAATTAGCAGAACAGGATGGGAAATGGGTATAAATGAATCTACATTGAACTAAAAAGATTGTGAATGTTTACTTTTTTCAATTTGATCATTTGTTTATATCAAACTCTCTACTTTTCTTTCCCTTTCCTATGCCCCAGACACATGTGTATTATAAATGTGTTTTGGAAGTCTAGGCCTTTAATTTAAATAGAATTAGGGAAGTCTCTGGAGTTTCTGACTTAATTTAAGTGAGATTAACATGTAGCAATCTTTCTTGTATAATCCAAGGTTTTCCCCTTTTGATTTACACAGGGTTAGCAAAGAAACAAACTGGTGAAGGTGAATAAGCATCTTATTAATAAGAGACTTTGGACCCAGGTCTACTCAGATTTATATTCATGACATGTGTGATACATTCTGACAGTGAGGGAAGAAATAAAAAATGTTCTTTGCAGTTCAGGTCAGCATGCCCTTTTCTCTAAGCAGAATTCTATTTACTCAATATTTAGTTGGAGAGAGACCAATACCTCCACTGTAATGTTAACCTTTTTTGCCTCTGATAATTTCAGAAACACCTATTTTCTTATTAGCATCTTAGCACAAGCAAGCATGTGTTCAAATAAACGCAGAAATATATAGAACGTGTGAGATTTCTTTAGAGAAAAAAGAAGCAGGTGACATTCATGATACATAAAATAACACCCACAGAATTCCCAGAGCAGAAATTAAAATGGAACTCCCAGAAAAGGGAGGAAAAGCTTCATAGCTTTATTCTATCAAGTAGACATCTATGGAAGAAAGTTGAAAAACGTACGTGTATTAAATAATTGATCCCATAAACACCATAAGACACAATTAGTTACTTTGATAAATGATGTAAAGCCAAGAAAGCATTTTGCCTAATAGACAACTTTGCCTCTTTTTTTGGATGTTTTAATACTTAAGATGAGGATCATTTGGCAAGAAAATCAAGGAAAGAACCAGGGGAGATAAAATTCACTGTATCTAGACTCCCACCTAAAAAATAATACATACCTTGAAAATTGCTGATAGTATCTTTATTCTGGAAAGGATAACACTAAGATAAAACAATGGCTATTGTTTTATCATTAAGTAGCAGGAAAAAGTTGTTTCTGATTCCTTTTTCCCCCCTTTGTGCCTGTGAACAGTGTTGTAACTAAATCTTTTCTACCATGGCACTCCTGATGCAAAATGATAAATTATATTCAATCAATCTCATCTATAATCATCAAAGAAAAATTGTTCTAAAAAAATTATCCCAGCTGGGCTCGGTGGCTCAGCCTGTAATCCCGTGCCTTTGGGAGTCTGAGGTGAGTGGATTGCCTGAGCCCGCGGGTTCAAGACCCGCCTGGGCAGCGAGACCTCATCTCTACAATAAAGCAAAAAATCGGCCGGGTGTGGTAGCACATGCCTGTAATTCCAGCTACTTGAAAGGCTGAGGTGGAGGGATCACCTGAGCCCAGCAGGTTGAGGCTGCGGTGGCCGGGAGCGGCCACTGCACTCCAGTCTGGGCGACAGAGTGAGACTCCAACTCAAAAAAAAAAAAAAAATTATCCCCACACCAAGGGGAAAAAAATCTGAGCTGTTGTAAGCTTTCATAGTTAGCATGGGATCTATTTTCCAGGAAGAAAAGTAACTTTTAAATCAAATTAACAAGATAAGAATGTTATCTGTTAATTTGTTATATCACATTTAGTTATGAGTATCAACAAACAGATTGAAAGAGGCTTTCCTTCACTATTCTTTAGATCATAATTAAAACAGTAGTTTTAAAACCATTGCCTATATTTTCACAAAATTTAAATATCGCTTCTTTTTTAAATTTTGGAGGTAGTGATATTTTTGCTATGTGTCAATTTTCAGGTTGGATGATTGATGCTGACAGCAGACCTAAATTTAAGGAGCTGGCTGCTGAATTTTCAAGGATGGCTCGAGACCCTCAAAGATACCTAGTTATTCAGGTTAGTACTTTTGACTTTTGCTTTGAAACTGTCTCAATGTGCTTAATAAGATTTGTTAAACAAATGAATAAATAAATGAAGCATTATAAAAGAGGGATAGATTAAATATTGTGCTGCTGGTCTTGCATCCCCTAACATGGGAGGGAGCGAGAAAAGCAGTGTTAGCCTAGGCTTCTCTGGGAACAGTATGAGACAGAAGATTGAAGTATTGTTATTACAGTAAGAGAATGTAATATATTTTGACCAATGTAAAAGTTTTAATTCTAAATTATGAAAAATTGTAGAAAAACAAAAAAAGGCTGGACTCAGTGGCTCAGTCTAGAAGCCAGAGGTTTGGGAGGCCGAGGCAAGTGCATTGCCTGAGCCCGCAGGTTCAAGATCAGCTCAGGGAACTTGGTGAGATCTCGTCTCTACACTAAATTTTTAAAAATTAGCTGAGTGTGTGGAAGTGCATGCCTGTAGTTCTGGCTACTTGGAAGACTGAGGTTGAAGGATTACCGGAGCCTAGCAGGTTGATGCTGGGGTGGCTGTGAGCATGCCACTGTACTCCAGCCTAGATAACTGAGTGAGACTCCAACAAAAAAAAAAGAAAGAAAGAAAAACAAAAAAGTATGTAAAATGTTTATATATATATATCTCAATGGTAAACTCACTTCAAAATATGAACTGTGGAAATGACCACACATGTATTAGGTAACTAAGCCCACTATCATGTGAAACAACTTACAGAAAAGAGCTTTTTACTTCATGTCAAAACCACCTCTAAGCACCTTCCCTTAGTATTCAAGTGACTGCAATATAACAGTCATATAATTATGATTATCCACGTACATAAAAGGTTTTTATCCTCAGACAAACCTCCTAGTGCTTTGATTTTTATTAACATTATATATGTCATGTTCATTACTATAAGCTTTTCTTTTCAGAATAAAAGGAAGACTATAATCTTGCCCATACCTGCAGATGATGAATTAAAAGTTTTGGTATATTAGCATTTAATTTCTCAGAAAAATATTTAAAAATACGTTTTGTTTGATTTGAACATATGCAGTATCTAAGCAAGAACTCAACTCAAATGTGCGTAAGAATCAAATAGCAAGCCAAAACAATATTTTATATTTAATACCAGAAAAAAAATAGACTGGGTAATTTAAAAATTAATATATTTCTTTGATTATTTTCACCTAAACCATAAACAAATGATCCTTGGACTACAATGAGTTATTTTTCCTCAGTTAAACAAGTTAGACTTTATCTTCTTATCAATAGTCTGACATGAAGATAAAAGCCAGGTTTTAGAAGATAATAATTTCCTATATTTTCCTCAAAATTAACTTTTATGAACTAAAATTTTTTACAAAACATTATGTAACTTTGAAAAAGTAGAAAACATATTTAAGAAGTCGATGAGGTGAGGAAGAGTAGAACAAGCATTTTGGTGTCTCTCCTATACCCGTTTATTCTATTTGCCATTTGTGCTGTGGTTTTGAATGCCTGCGCTTTGACAATTGGCCATTATGTTATAGAATAATTATGGATCCTATGGGTCCTGATAAAAATTTGACATCAAACCAAACAAATAAAACAAAGATGGATAACTTGATTGCCCTCGATTATTTATTCTTAAAGTCTCAACTGAACACCTCTTGGCATAAGCCATTATGCTCAGATTTGAAATGGGTTTTGTCCTCCTAAAGCATCCTTCACATTCTGTTTAATTCTTCTCTAATGTTGCTGATCACAGAATTCTTGTATTGAATTTATCTTACCATGTCATATTTAAGTATAGTATAGGCTTCTTTATGGCTGGTGGTTGTGCCAAATAATTATTTTTTGAAAGTGTGCATGAATTTTTCTAACAATTGTTTTGACATTAACATAGATTTGTACAGAAATCACATATTTAAGAAAAAAGGAAGAATCATTTTCGTATGTGTTTGATGGGCAATCTTTCAGGGTGATGATCGTATGAAGCTTCCCAGTCCAAATGACAGCAAGTTCTTTCAGAATCTTTTGGATGAAGAGGACTTAGAAGACATGATGGATGCTGAGGAGTACCTGGTCCCTCAGGCTTTCAACATCCCACCTCCCATCTATACTTCCAGAGCAAGAATTGACTCAAACAGGGTAAGAAGAAATTATATACAAGTACCATATAATTCCTGAGAAATAAAATCATGTAAATAGATTATAAGCACTAAAATTTAAAAACAATTATATCGCTCAAATTAGTGTAGTGCTTAGATTAAAAAACATGCCATACTCACAAAAGATGTGCCGAGTTTGCTATGTAGAGTTAAATTTGGAAAACAAGCATGGCCAGTACAACATGCACTTTGAAATATCCTCAAGATTTCAAAAGAAGAAATGTTTTCCTCATCTAAAGTTAGTTGAAAAAATCTCAGTTTTAAAAAAATCAATTCAAACTATTAAGACTGTATGTGTGTATAAATAAATAAAAATGCTTATCAAGTAGGCTTTCTACTCTTCCTACTTAAAAAGATGATACAACATTATAGTCAATAGGTAATACAAGTACAACTCTCTTTCACTCGTTTAAGAAACATTAAATAATTTCTGTCAAGTTGAAGTAGAAACACAGAAAGCCATGCAATTCTTTTAACTAAATCAATCACATTGAGAAGACAAGCTGAATCGCATCTGAGATGTAGATTTAAGTACTGAAAGAAGCTTCTGAAAGAATTTACATTTCATTTTAAATACTAAACCCACTCCATGTAAATACCATTCTTTCTCTAAAGGCTGTCAAATGCATGTATTTGTTTATTTAAAAAGTATTCATCATTCATTCAGCATTTGTGGAGTAGTACTGCATGTGAATCACTGGTATACATTTGCAATTCAAATAATTTTGACATAACTTTTGCCTTCAAGAAGTGCCCACCTTCATAAAAGTCACACTGCTATAGAGACAGTATGATAACTGTCGTAATCCCAAGTGCTGTTATGGATCTCAGGAAAACAGTCAATTTATGTCTGTAATCAGTTCCTTTCTCTGATAAGATATAAACATGAAATCCGTTTCCTTAACAAAATATATGCATGATGCTTAATTTTTCTAAAAAAAATTATTTTTTCTTAATCGCCTTCTTCATCTGAGGACATTATCATAGCTAATAGAGTAAAAGGCATCGTTTTTATCTTGACCATAAGAACATTTCAATTTGCTGCTTATTCTCTAAAATAAAGTTATTTGCTTTATATCAGATTGACAGCAATAATAAATAATAAATAATATTCACCTAGTGCTTACCATTCAACGTATGTATGTCAACCCTAAATTTTTACCACAATATCATGGGATTCTATAACTATTATCTCCTTCTTACAAATGAGGAAACTTGCCACCAAAAGGTTAGGTGACTTGACTGGTATCACACAGGTAGCCAGTGGAAGATCAGAATGCTAGTGTAAGGTGTCTATTGACTACACTGTACTATTGCTTCAAAGTTATTGAAACATGTTATTTTTATGATGTAATTATTTCCCTTGGCATCAACCTCAGCATCTGGGACTTGTCTATTTGGCATATTCCCCCAGGTGATTTTCTTATAAAAGGCATCCCCCACCTTGCTTTACACCTTTTGCCCATGTACCTCTATTTAGAAGGTCTGCCCTAGAGAGAGGCAAAGATGGAGACCTCGATTCATTTTTTCCATGAAAATATATGTTATTGCAGCCCAAATTGAAAATGTTATCATTTGTCCAATGAGGAGTAGATAATTAAACGTTTTAAAAATTAAATCAGAAACTTGCATGGCATGGTCATTTCGAGGCAGGAGGATTACTTTAAGCCAGGAGTTCAAGACCAGCTGGGGCAACATAGTGAGATCCTGTCTCTACAAAAAAAAGTGAAAACTTAGATGGGCATGTTGGCTCATGTCTATATTACCAGCTACTCTGAAGATTGAGGCAGGAGGATCTAGGGCCTGAGGCAAAAGGGTTGCTTGAGCCCAGAAGTTCAAGGCTATGATTATGCCACTCCACTCTAGCCTGGGCAACAGAGTGAAACCTGGATTCTTAAAAATGAATACATCAATCAACTGATAAATCATGAATATCAGTCTTTTGTTTGTGGAAGGGAAGAAAGTCCTTAATCCGCGCGAAGTAGGTACTTTGTTTCTCCTCTGTACACTTTGTAAAAGAATCAAATTATATCCTTGTATTTATAATTTTAAGTGACAAAGTCATTACCTTCAATTAAAACAGTAACTGGAAGTTCAAAAAAATTTTTTTAATTCAAAATTTCAAAAAAAAATAGTTTTTCTTTCTTAATTTGAAATGCTATACAGGCTAAGGGTTGGACTCTTTTTCCTTTTATATGCATCCTCAAATTCCAACTTTTTGTTCAGTTTAACTTATAATGCCCAATGCAAGGAGTTCTTAATTAAGTTTTGAGCTAACTAAATGGAATTAGTGAGACAAAGTAGAAATCACATGATGACTTATTTGAACGTTAGCCATCATTTCTTATTCTGCATTATTCACAATATTAACGGTAGATTTCTTTTCACTTTTTCAGTCTTGGGAAAAAATTGTGTTTAAATATCATTGTATTGTCGGGTTAAAAACCCTAATTTTTTTAGCCTGGCTTTATGTAGTTTTTATGGCAATTTCTAATATGTACAAATGCTGTTTTTCCCCTTTCTTCCTATAAGGTTAAGTGTAGAATTTTAGAGTTAGAAAATAAATTACTTCAATTTTAAGTGCTGTGGCCAAATTATGTGCTAAGAAAGCATCTTAAAGTGAATTTTGTTAAAATATTCTTAGGCGTATTTGATGAACTATGATCATTGCTAAAAAATAGGCTTCACTGCTTACTCACTAAGAAGCTTTAAGCAACGTTCTGAATGTTTCCATGACTTTGTTTTCTCATGTTTAAAGTAAACACAATAGTACCTATCGTATATGAATGCTAGACTGTTAACCTAAAAAAAACGTTTCAGAGCATCCATGGTGCCAGGCAAATCAGTATTTATTACCCTCATTGTAAAAATCACCCAAACTTCATTTCTACTTTTTTCCTTGTCAATATCATATATCATAAATAATCACACTTTCTTATAAAGTTTTCTACCCATCGTCTATGAAAGCCTGTTGATTCAATTACTACTTGGCAAGCAAATTATTTTTGCTGATGTGCTCTATTAGCAAATAAGTTTTAGAAGTCATTTTTTTCTATAGTACTTTGGATTATTTTAAATTTCATACTTATTTTGATAAATTTTAACTCTAAAGCAATGAGTCAATTCAAAATATAATGTTTATATTTGTCCAGAAATTTGATGAATACAAATGTGAGTAATGCTAGAAAGCACTCACCCAATTTATAGCTGATATTATTGTTAGGTATACTTTTCAAATTATCTCAAATATTTTTATCAAAATAATGTACCAAAGCACTCACTCTAGTGTGATATAAACAGGAGAACATGAAAAGCCATCTCACCTCTGCAAACAATTCTCTACATCTGTAAAATGAAGATTAAAAAAATTTCTCAGAACATTGTGAAGCTCTACTTTTTTGTGTACATAAGCATGCTGCCCATTCGATGGACTTTCAGTAGAGTGGAAATAAATGATGATTAACTAAGCCACCATCACTTGCATTTTGGCATAGACTGAAAGGTAGACAGAAGAATGAGGAAGTTTTATAGGGGAAAAGGGGATGGCTTCAGGTATGTTCTGATTGAAGGTCATTGGCCTGAACTGTTAGCCTTACAGGAAGTCCATAACCAGAAGTGATTGATGAGGGGTGCATATTTGGCTGTTTTACTTGACTCAAAATTAGATGCAAGGGCAAAAATTAGGAAAGCTGTCAGTTATTCCTCAAGTTCTGATTGTCTGGGACCAATTCTTACAGATATTATTGTTTAGTTTCCTGGATTGTTACTAGAGATAGAAGTCTGATTTCCTACAAATCTGATTATAGAAGGTTGATTTTCCAGGTTATTTATTGTGGATAAGAGAGTTTGTTTCCTGGGCAGATAGCTTCAGATTGCAGGTCAAAGTTCTCTCTTTATATAGGGTCTAACCATTGCCCCATTGCATGTTCAGTCTATCTGTAGGTTTTAGTTTTAATTGCTGCCTTCTTCTCTCTAGATATATTATTTTAATATATACTGCCTAATATTTTCAATTAAATTCAGCACAATATATAAATTCTCCATTTTTGTGTGTTAATGTTGATAATCTTTCTTTTGATTTATCTAGATTTATATCTGTTTGAAATAGTGAAACATATATTAAATGAAAACAGCAAAGAATAAAAATAGGTAACAAATTGATGCCAGTCACAGTGGCTCACACCTGTAATCCTAGCACCTTGGGAGGCAGAGGCGAGTAAATTGCCTGAGCCCAGGGGTTCAAGACCAACCTGGGCAATTTGGTGAGACTTCGTCTCTACAATAAATCAAAAAATTAGCTGGGCATGGTGGCGCGTGCTTGTGGTTCCAGCTACTTGGTAAGCTGAGGCAGAAGTATCCCCTGAGCCCAGCAGGTCGAGGCTGAGGAGGCCATGAGTATGCCACTGCATTCCAGCCTGGGTCACAGTGAGACTCCAACTCAAACAAATAAAAACAAAACAAAATAAAACAAATGGTATGGTTGAAGATAGTTCATCTTTAATTATATTAGAAAATTAAATTTAATATAAAAGCACCTATATAGTTTTACAAGGGAAGATATGATTTCAATTGTTGCAGGATCACTGTCATTTGCAAGGAATCATTTTTAAGATTAAGTCCTCGACCTCTTTCAAAGCATATCAGCTAACTTTTAGTTATTCTGGCTGGTGGAAGACAAAGGAATTGTAGCTCCCCTACAGTGGTGAAGTGGTTAACCCACAAAGAATCTATCATAATTGAAACTTTTCTCTACTTCTTTCCTATCTGCTAAGAAGTACCTTTATTAGTAAATTTGTATTTTCCCTCCTTTTTTATTGTACTCTCTTTCTCAGAATAGATATATAAATAAGTTGAAAAATAGACAAAATACAAACAGAAGAAGTGAAAATAAAGAAAAATAACTGATTTTGCTATTTAAAGTAATCTCAAATATTGATCCATTTCTAAATCATTGAATGTAAGCTGAATATTTTGAAAGCT